CCTAACCCTAACTCTAACCCTAACTCCTAACTTCTAACTCCTAACCCTACCTCCTAACTCTAACCCTAACTCCTAACTTCTAACTCCTAACCCTACCTCCTAACTCTAACCCTAACTCCTAACCCTACCTCCTAACCGTAACTCAAACGCCTAACTTTGCCTCTGAGACATGAACGACGGTGCAGCCAGTAAAAGCTGCAGAGCTATGAGCCAACAGGACACTTGAGGCTGTCAAACTTCCGGGAGTTTAGGGTGTGTTTGTGTGTGTGTGTGAGGGATTTCAGCAGACATGGTGGAGGTGTTTTCCGGCCGGACACTTCTGAACAAAGACGGGGACTTCGTGGACCCAGAGGAGGCGCTGAGGAACAAAGTGGTGGGGATTTACTTCTCTGCGGGATGGTGTCCGCCATGTCGCGACTTCACTCCCATACTGTGTGATTTCTACACGGAGCTGGTGGAGGAGGGCGACCCTCCGGCCCAGTTGGAGATTGTTTTCGTCTCCTCGGACAAGTCTCCTGATGACATGGTGGAGTATTATCATGATATGCACGGAGACTGGCTCGCCTTACCCTGGACGGACGACTACAAGCAGTAAATATCAGGAGCTAAAGTGCTTCAACTCAACACAACAAAATAATGAGGTTAAATTACTGTAGTCTAAACAGATTAACAGGCTGTGCTGGATTTTAAAGGGTCACCCTGTCAGGGATTAGGATTAAACAAAGAACAAACCTGTCAATAAGTTAAGACTTTGTTTTGTTTTACTTTATTTTGCTAATCTATGTTGTGTTGTACAGTTCAACTAATTAGACCCCATTATAACAAATTATAGTTTTCATTTATTAAATACCTTTATGGGGCAAAAAAATTAGATTAATCTAAACGTTTTTCCTTCTTTCAAACGTCCTTGGAGGTTCAACAGTCTGAAACTACTCATTACAAAGATCAGTGTTGTGTGTATTATTTTTCAATTGAAACTAATCACAACTTCCCAACACTTTTGGAATATGGGAGGTATATTTAATACATTTTGTTTTTATCTTTTCCTCAAGAGATTTAAAAATGATCCGAAAATATCAAAGCAGCAACACAAACAGTTTCATTAGGCTAAACTTTAAATTTAAATATGACTGAAGAAAATGACAAATAGACCAAATTATTAATTGGTTATCAATATAAGATGTTGCACAAATAATTCAGTACAAAAGCAGCATTTAAACACTGCAATGTAGCGGGTAAAGACTTTGTTATTTAAGTGGTATTTTCTTTCAAATGTGTTTCTCATTGTCATTTTTCTTCTCTTTCTAGTGAGTTGAAGCAGCGCTACAAGATCACAGCAGTTCCCAAACTGGTGATCGTGAAGGAAAACGGCGACGTGATCACTGATAAGGGCAGAAAGCAGATTCGAAGCCACGGCCTGGCTTGCTTCAGGTCCTGGCTGGACGCTGCAGAGATCTTCCAGAACTTCATGGGTTAGAAGAAGCACAAGACGAACCTCAATGGAGCCGAACAAAACCTGTAATCATTGAAAGAATGCGCATTCAATTCAATTTCTATTCAGTTTATTTATGTAGCGCCCAGTCACAACGGATGTTGTCTCAGGGCACTGTACAAAATCATTCACATAGATTATAAAAGCCAATTCATAAAAGTTCTCTAAGGAAGCCAGCAGATTGTGTTGAATCTTCACTTCGTCTCCCAACAAACATAAATGACAGAATAACAGCACCAATAAATATAATTTTAATTCAGCTTCTTTCAAGTCATGCCATGATAACAGCTTTACAAACTGAAAACACTACTTTATTTACACATCCCTATAAAACATACTATGCATTTAATACAAATCTCAGCTTATCCATTAAGGAAATGATCTCTTTATCTATTAGATGTTCAGGTTATTTTAAAGAACATTGATTTATGTTCCTTAAAAGCGTCTGCACTAGTTGAACTAGCTGTTTGTTCCCTTTAACTAAAGAAATATTTACTGGCTTGACATATTGCTTCTGCATATTATCTCCAACAAACAAAAGCT